TTTTTGCTATAGGGTGCATGTACTCATCAGAGAGAGAGAGAGAGAGGGAGAGAGACAAGGAAAGTGAGAAAGGATTCCCTATGAGAGGGGTTCCATGCCACAATCCCTTTTCCATACACCTCTCAGAATTTTGGGCACGTATGCACACATACTCGGCCTGTTTTGTTTCAAGCCCCCAGATAGGGATTTGAACCGCACATTTGGTCACCTGGGATCCAGCCATCTTAACCATGATGCCACCAGCTGGTCCACAAAGCAAGGTCAAAGTGGCGAATCGGATGACCTGAAATTTAGACTCTTTTGAGGGCTTTTGTTCACACTCTTAAAAAATTTTTTGTTGTTGTTGCTATAGGGTGCATGTACTCATCAGAGAGAGAGAGAGAGAAAGAGAGCGAGGGAGAGACACAAGGAAAAGGGGTTCCATGCCACAATCCCTTTTCCATACACCTCTCAGAATTTTGGGCACGTATGCACACATACTCGGCCTGTTTTTTTTCAAGCCCCCAGATAGGGATTTGAACTGCACAGTTGGCCACCTGGGATCCAGCCATCTTTTTTTTTTTTTTAGAGGTTTTCGCTATAGGGTGCGTGCGCTCGCCAGACAGACAGAGAGAGACATAGAGACAGAAAGCAAGAAACCACCCCCCAGGGGGGATGGTCACGCCGCAATCCCTTCTCCTCCATTGTCCTCTCGGGATCTTGGGCACGCACACACATGCACCCGGTGTGAGTTTTAAGCCACCGGGTCCGGGATGCGAACCGCGGTCGACTACGTGGGAGTTCAGTGACATAGCCTTTATGCTAACTGCTGGTCCCCCTGTTTGCAGAATTTTTAAACCACTTCTTTTCTGGGCACATACAACCTAATTTGCTATATTTGCATAAATGCCTATGAGAGAAATAATTTGTTTCCCTATGTGCCCTTCCCTCCCCACCCCTCCAGAAAGATGGCTAAGAACACGGTGGAAATGGAAACTCAACTTTGGGGCTGAAATCTCAGAGGAGAGAGTGACAGCAGCAGGATGGAGTACCAAGGCCTGAGGGGGCATGACCTACCCCTCCTCTCTATCTCTTGAAGCCACCGTACATCCTCAGGAATTTCTGTAGGCCTGCCTCATTGAACATAGCATCTGTTATGACCAGAAATTATAATTATGGTCTTATCTTCTATGGAAGCTCATATAGTGAGCTCAGAAACATGGAGGGGAATTCATTCAGGACACCCCCAAATGGCAAACAACTCAATGCCCATCAACAAAGAATAGATAAATAACTCGTCGCATAGTCACACAACAGAATACTACACAGCAGTAGAAATGAATCTTTACGTACATAAACAACATGGACGAATCTCACAAACTTAACAAAGCCAGATCCGATCACACGCACTGTATGATTCCATTTGCATAAAGTTCAGGAATAGGAGATGGATGTATGCTATTAGAGGTTAGGTTAATGATTACGCCTAGGGTAGAGGAGGCAAGGCAGGAAGAGACACAACGGGGAGGAGTTGGTAGTGTTCTTTCTTCTGGGTAGTGGTTGCAGGGGTGCATTCTTTTTTGTGAAAATTCATCAAACCCATACATTATAACTTGAGTACCACTCTGCATGCAAATATACTTCATTGTAAGTTTTTTTTTTTTTTTTAAAAAAAAGGCCTGATGCTCTTGGGCAATGTAAGCAGAGACTAGAAGTAGAGTCCTTTGTAGTTGATAGGTACCTTCTTGAAGCCCCGTACAGTGATTTGTCCTGATGCAGGGTCCTTGTAAAGGCTGTATGCTTTGCCTGGAAGTCTTTCCCTCTGTGTGCTGCTTTCTGGTTAACGTCTAGGCGTCCTTCAGTTTTCAGCTGATAACCTCCAGGAAACCTTGCTTCGTTCAGTCTAGGTCAGGTTATCTTTGCTGCAAGCTCATAGAACTTTGCTTTCAAACACTTCACTTATGTGTGATTATATACTTGTTTGTGTGATTGTTTGATGATTATCTTCCTCAGCAGAATGAGTTGCAAAACAGTGGTAATGTGTTTGCTCCTACTCACCATTAAATCCCCAGGACTAAACAGAATGCTTGATAGCATAATAGGCACTCATTACATATTTGTCAAAGGATTGAATAAGTGAAGGGTGAATGAGTGATTGAATAAATAAAGGTCTATGGAAGCAGTGCAACGCTACCCCCAACAAATATTGCTTTATCTCATAAACTCATTGGAAATATTCCATTCTGTTTTCTAGTGGACATGAGTATAAAATATTTTATGGTAACTGCCATAACATGAAATTGGTGATCCTAGGAAAGACATGCCCATATGCATAGAGCTTGTGTACACTCAGGCAGATTGTTATGTCTTTCCCAATATGGTATATATGCCTTAATTTTAGAAGCTAAGACGTACATGTGCTTAGCACCTTCCAAATGATAGCTGAGAAACAGGAAGTCAGAGTTCTATGACCTTAGAGAACATTTAGGTCTCAACTGAGGAATTGGAGGCACAGTGGGATAATGGGATTTCCCCAAGGTTACAGAGTTAGCTGATCTTTTTATTTATATTTTAATAAAAATAAATCTATCTTCCTGTCACCTTGGAGGGTACATAAGAAAAGAAGGTTGGGGAAGTTTTCTCCTAGATTTGATTCTAGCACTCACTAGTTGGGTGGTTGTTGGCAAGTTGAACTTTGGTTTTGTCATCTGCAAAATGGGGGAGAGAGTAAAAGTATTTAACCCACGGGGTTGTCGTGAAGATTTAGTACAGGCAAAATACTCCATTCAGTGTCTGGTCCTTGGAAAGTACTCAGTAGTATTCAGATGCTGTTAAATTTCATGCCTTGGAGCTTGAGGGAGAAGAAGAATGGAGGAACTGACCTTGGCCTTCAAGGGATGGGAGTCCAAAATAAGATGCTTCTACTCATTAAACTTGGGAAAGACAGATCTTGCTCTAGTTCAAGGGCAAACTTGGATAGCATCTATTTGACTGTATCTCTCTGCAGGAGTCGTTGAATCTACAGCCTTGGTTGTTTGGTTGAGAAGACAAATTAGCCAGAAAGCATTTTTATTCAACAACAGCCAGCAGGTGGCAGAGTTTGTGAAAGCCAGGCCCTTGGTCATTGTTGGCTTCTTCCAGGTACTGGGGTCAAGAGGTGGGAGGAGGCTTGTCAACTAGTGGGAGTGCTGTATCTGGGAGGGAATAAGGTGAGGAGACTCGTTCACTTGTGCATGCCCACTTTTCCCCAACCAAAGAGCTGGTTTCCTGGGGAGTGCTCCAGGGTCTAAATAAATAGAAGAGTTTGACAACTGGTTTTAACAAGGTAACTTGTCTTTGAGGGGGTTCATTTATAGCATCACTGAAGAACACGATTTCTTATTTTCTTTCTGTATTACTAACTTCTGCCAGTCATGCTTGGGGCAGGTCAGACTCTCTCCCTAAACTCTTTCCAAGCACTCGTATGTATTGAAATTAATAATATGGGACCAGCAAATAGAGTAATAGTTATGTCACTGGACTCCCATGTAGTTGACCATGGTTCGAATCCTGGACCCAGTCCAGTGGCTTAAAACTCACACTGGATGCATGTGCATGCATGCCCAAAATTCTGAGAGGAGAATGAAGGAGAAGGGATTGCAGCATGGCCATCCCCCCCACCCTGGGGTGTGATTTCTTGCTTTCTCTATCTCTCTCTGTCTCTTTTGGGAATACACAGACCTTATAGCAAAAACAAAACAAAACAAAAAAAACACCCAAAAAACAAAAAACAAAACCTGAAAAAAATAAAATAAAAACAAAAAAACTAAAACTAATAACATATCGTAAACATGCACTCACTTGAAAACAAACCAACTAATCCTCTTCATAGGTACAGAAGGGGAAAGTTTGAGGAAGGACAGAAATAATATATATAATACTAAATATCTCATGATAGCTTTTTATTGATTTTATATTTTAATTTATAAATACTTTTCAAATTTGTTTTGTTTTAGGGAACTAGTTTTTTTTTATGTGTCTTAGCTTGTTTACCATAAATTGATGACTCCTTCCACTGGAAGTCAGAACTTTTTGGCATCCTACTTATACATGACGAGTATGTGTCCCTGCACCCTCCTCCTTTTTGGAGAGTATTTTTGGCCCTATTCCTTTCTCAAACTAAAGAAGGATGACTGAAGCTATAACTCTATCTGATACCAAATTAATTTTTGATATTACATGCGGCCAAATCCATTGCATTTTCTGAAAGCAATTAAGAAATACATTTGAAAAAGTCTCAATTCTGGTCTAGAACCATCTGTAATAATTGGAAAAGATCAAGTTCGTCTTAATTCTCTCCATTGATCGCCATTGATCTCTGAGGATTTGCCTATTTCAGCTTTAGTCATAGCCAGAGACACAATATGTGTATGGAGTATCCATCGAAGGAGATCGGGATACCCCAGCAAAAACCCTGAAATTTGGAAAAGTGAAAGATTAATTGACCCCTACTTTCACCTTTCCTTAGCTAGACATTTTTCCCTCTCCCAAAGCTTTGCTAAACATTTTTTCCCAAACAGGATTTAGAAGAAGAAGTAGCAGAGTTGTTCTTTGATGTGATCAAAGACTACCCAGAACTAACGTTTGGAGTGATAACGATTAAAAATGCTGTTGGCCGTTTCCATGTCACTCTTGACAGTGTCCTGGTGTTCAAAAAGGTAGGTCTCTAGTTCAAAGCAATGAAATGTGTATGGGTTTTGGGTACAAATTCTGGTTTGTTATTGATGAATGATGGCAATGAAGAGAAGGAGATGCAACAGAAGTTAGGAGTTAGCGACTTCATTCTCCCTTCCCAATAGACCTTGATTTTGTTGTTAGTCCAGGCCCTTCTGAGAAGCAATTATCTAGCAGGATTAAATATGCAAAATAAATATTGGGACCAGCAGTTAACGTAATGGCTATGTCCCTGGACTCCCATGTGGTCAACTGTGGTTCAAGTCCCAGACCCAGTGGCTTAAACTCATGCCGGGTGCGTGTGAGTGTGAGTCCAGGATCCCAAGAGGAGAATGGCGAAGGGATTGCGGCTTGGCCATCTCCCTTGGGGAGTGTTTTCTCGCTTTCTGTCTCTCTGTATCTCTGTCTTTCTGGTGAGCGTATGCGCCCTATAGCAAAAAAGACAAAACAAAACAAAACAAACACAAAAAACAAACAAAAACTCTCAAAAAATATGCAAAATATTTATTAGGAAAACAGCCTCCAAAGGAAACAGAGAGCTAGAGAAGGCTCAGAGAACCATCACACCATGACGAAGTTTTGGCCTTTTAGAAGGAAAGGAGGCAGGATGGAAGATTCTTTCATAAAAGTTCTAAAAGAGCTCATCAAAGTCTTAAATAAAAATTAAAGAAAAAAGTGATCAAGCAATCCTTCACTTGTGAAACATCTGGTCATGAACTCAATAAATTCTGATCTGTTATGTAAAAACAAAACAAAACAAAACAAAGTCTTCTATCAGGGGAGTCCTGAATCTCCCAGGAATGGGCTTGCTTCAGTTTCCCAGATGACCTCAGTCACTTATTGGGAATAGTGTGTGTGAGAAACTGTTTAACATTCACACAAATATTTTGATGGATTTCTGTGCATAATAGCTGTGGTTGTCAGTCAATCACACTCCCTGTCATTGCAGATCTCAGACTTTCATGGCTGCCACATACCCATATTCAACCTATGAGTTAATCCACCCAGCCATTCATGTCAAATAATTTGATAATGAATTACACCTGCCACTGTCCCTCGGCATTTTTCTTTTCTCTAAGGGAAAAAATTGTGCTATTTATATTACTTAAGTGCCTACATCGTGGAACCTACTGTCTTCCAACATTTTTCCTTTTTTGTCTAAGGGAAAAATTGTGAACCGCCAAGAGCTTATTAATGACAGTAACAACAAACATGACCTCAATCAAGTCATAAAACAGCACCTTACAGATTTAGTGATTGAATACAACAGTGAGGTCAGTGAACAAAGGGTCCTTGGGAGAAGGGTAGCTGGAATGGCTGTGGGTGTTCGGGATGACATGCTTTCCTTGCATTTTCAGAATAAGGATTTGATTTATGAATTGAACATCCTCAATCACATGCTGCTCTTTGTCTCCAAAAACTCTGAATCATACAGTGTCATAATTCAACATTATAAACTGGCATCGAAGGAATTCCAAAATAAGGTTAGTAGCATGTGTCATTGCTCTTTGGGGCTCTTGGATAGAGGTCCAAGACCTGCAAACCTGGAGATCATTTGCTTGTCCTGCTTATTATAAATTAAGTCAGGGGAGATTTGCATGTGTACTTGCATATCATTTCCTGGTTTACATCTCCGTATTATTTATTATTTCATTTTAAATCAGCCTCCTCCATTCTTCCTGCCCAGAGTCAGTTCCTCTTTTGCAAAACCGATGTTCCTTTTCTCATGTTTTCTATATGTCTCCTACAGGAACATGATGGTTTAGCTGCCTTTTTGATGGACTTTGCTCCACTAGAAGTGGTGAGGGCAGTATGGGAGCACTTGGCTTGGAGGTGAGGGGGAGAAAAGACTCCTCCTGTTCGAGGTCAGGGAATACAAAAAGCCTGTATGTGTGAAGCAGTAGTGATTGGTAAATCATGGCTGAGATTCTGGACTTTAACATCACACAGAACTAAGTTCAAATTTTCTTCCTCTTACAAGCTATGTATATTGTCTTAGCCACTTTCCCTGACCTCTCATCTTTAGTCTCCTTATGTCTGAAATGGAAAATTGTAGTAACAATTAGAAAATCTATACAATAAAGAGTGTTTGTTATTATTGTCATTAGAAACAAATTGGTACACTAAACCTTTATTTAATGTAGTTACCACTACCTAGATTATAGGCATTATTTATTTAATTTTTATTTTTATTTGTATAAGAAGTATGTTAATGGAAGACTTTTTTCTTTTGAAAAAAATGATTTTGAAATTAAAATACTTGAATACTTTTAAACCTCAAAGATGAAATAAAACTGCTCTAGCATGAACATATTTAATACTCAGGAAGATGGTTCTAATCAAAAATACCTCTTATAAATCTATTCTCTGATTTTTTTTTCAATTTTACACTTTAAGATTTATTTTTCAAGGTAATTAAATTGATTGCAACTTGATAGCTTTCCATCTATGTTAAAGGAGTCAATATTTAGACGTTTTTTCCTTCTAGGTGTTTTGTTCTGCTATTTTTTTTTTTTTTTTGGAGAGGTTTCGCTATAGGGTGCGTGCGCTCACCAGACAGACAGAGAGAGACAGAGAGACAGAAAGCGAGAAATCACCCCCCAGGGGGGATGGCCACGCCACAATCCCTTCTCCTCCATTCTCCTCCTGGGATCTTGGGCACGCACACACACGCGCCCGGCGTGAGTTCTAAGCCACCGGGTCTGGGATGCGAACCACGGTTGACTACGTGGGAGTCCAGCGACATAGCCATTATGCCAACTGCTGGTTCCCTCTGCTATTTTTTTTTAATTTCTTAATTGTGCAGAAGTTTATTTTGGCATAGATCAGGAGATGAGGTTCTAAATTGCTGTCATCCTAATTAGTGAGCTTCCCAATTGCCACTTACTGATTTTGGATCAATTTAGAGCTAGAGATAATTGGTTAGATTAATAGTGTTGCAGTAGATCGTACACCTATCTCTACCTTGTTCGCCTCTATAACCCAGTGCCCAGCACATTGAAGTAGACAATATTGGTTGAAAGTATATAAGGATGGTTTTAATAAGTCTCCTTTGTTTCCCATAGTCTCCCCAGCTCCTCCATGAGTAGCACCTAGTGGGGCCCTTAATCTTTTGATGGATGAATGACATCAAAGTTCCTGATGCACGACCTTTAACTCATCTCTCTGCTTCCACTTTTCTTGTCTGTAAGCAGAAGGATCTTTGAAAAATTAACATGCTTCTGCTGGCATACTGTCCTTCAGTGGACTCCCCTTCTGTTCAAACCTAAACCCAGGCTCCTTACTGGGCCTCTGACGTCATCTTTGACAGTCTTGACCTCCCGTCCCAAGTTTCTCTCTCTCTCTCCGTGCTGATTCTACACTGGACTTTCTTTGCTGCTGCTAGAACACTAAAATCTTTGTTTGTCTTGCACCTAGACCTTTGTGCAGTTTCCACTGCCTGGACCATTGTTACCTGACCTTGACTCATCACCAAGGACCCTGCTAAAATGTAGTATCCTCAGGTTCTTCTCCTGACCACTCCATCAAATACTGAGCCCCTGCCTTACCCCATCCATGCGTCATCATGCTGTCCTGTTTTATTGTCTAACTGGCACTTGTCACTGTCTGAATCTATCAATTTGTTTACTTGTTGGTTGTCCATGTTCTGTACTAGAACATGCTTTGTGAGGCAGGAATTTTGTCTGCTTTCACAGTGTTGTGTCTGCAGTGCTTAGTAAAAAGCCTAACACATAGCAGGCACTCCATACATATTTGCTGAATGAATGAGTGAGTGAATGAAGTCATGGATTTCCTTGATGGAATAATTTTGAATAATAATAAGTGTTCACATGGGTCAGCCAGTGATGCGATGGTTAAGGCAGCTAAATCCCACATGGCTGACTATAATTTGAATCCTGGCCCTAGAAGCTTTAAGGACATGGTGGGTCCATGTGCATGCATGAGAGTCCCTAAGGGAGAAACAGAGAAGAAAGGATTGTGGTGTGGCTGCTCTCTACAGGGAGTGGTTTCTCTCTTTCTTTTTCTCTTTCTTCCCCGCAAGTCTCTCCTTGTGAGTGCATAAGCCTACTAACAAATTAAAAAATAAAAAAGGGGTTGGTATGTATTGCATATTTTCTACCTATCAGTCACTAAATCAAGCTTTCACATACATTGTCCTACTTAATTCTCACAGCATTCCTATAAGGTAGATATTAGGGTAGTAATACTTTCACAGATAAGAAAACTGAGGTACTTAACTAGGAGGAAGTGTTACCAGGCAAATGTATGGACTGGCTTTACTGCTCATTACTAAGTAAGCCAATGTCTGAGCCAATGAGAGTTTGCACAGAGGGCAGCTTTGTTACAGAAGACATGGGCTGGGAGAACAGTAGGAGAGTCCAAGACTCTTCAAGTACCATCTTCATTATGGAGGGGCAAGCAGAGGGTTTAAATATAGGTCAAGAATGTGACAGTATGAGGGTCTAGGGGTAGGAAGCCAGGGATTTTCCAGAACAGTTTCTGTGATGTCATCTTTGGTGGATGGTGCTTTTATCTTGGTGCCAGGTGGTCTGGAGGATTCAGGGCATGCTTATCATCAGGTCTGTTCTTGGTAAAACACTCAAGACAATGAACTCTTGGGAAACCTGGATCTCTCCAGTCTTTATAGATAATCGTGACAGTGTTTTGCAAAAGTTGAACAATTTAGGCTACTGGCAACATGATCACTGCAGAACCTTGATCATAGTGTGCCAGAAGTATAGATCAGTCAGAAGGGAAAGGAAGCATGAGCTTCCTAGGACTTCATTTCTCCTCCTTCTTCTTCTCCTCCTCCTTCTTCTTCCCCTCCTCCTCCTTCTTCTCTTCTTCTCCTCCTCTTCCTCTTCTTCTCTTCCTCTTCTCTGCTTCTTTTCTTCTTCTTCTCTCCTTCCTCTCTTCTTTTTTCTCCTCCTCCTCCTCTTCCTCTTCTTCTT